GACCGTCTGCGTGAACCCATCAAGCTAGCTGAACCCCTTCCACCTCAGCCGCCTCCACAGAACGCTAAAGTTGAGATGGCAGGACTGGATTCCGGACATGGAAATCCTCCAACTGACCGGAATCCGGAGCGTCCAGGCCATTCTGAGGCAACCGCAGATGCGCTGGAGCGGCCACCTCGCGAGGATGGTTGACGAGCATGTACGCAAGCGACTCTCCTACAGCGACGTCGCTACAGGTGCCCTCCGACATGGAGGGCAAATAAATCGGGACACATAAGATAACATCGCCCTGGCTCGATCAGACCGAAAAGATGGACAAAAAATGGAGTAGCAGTTTACAAAGCCCACAGAGTTGTCGTCATCAACACCAAAATAGATGCTCACAGGTTGCAAAAACCGCAGACCCTAAACCCCAACACTCCCCCACCTCAAACTTGTCGGCGCTGACGCCAGGTATTCCGCGCATAATGATAGGGGGCGTTCACCGATCGTTCTTATATAACTCACTTGTTCCGTTGTGCCTTACGGGCTCTCTCTCGAGCTCAACCAGCAGCCGCACAGCGACGCATGATGTAGACAGTATATTAGTGCCGGCATGCTCCGCTGTGCAACTGCTGTTTGGGCTCGAGAGAGAGCCCGTAAGGTACAACGGAACGAGCGAGTTCCGTAAGAACGATCGGTGAACATCCCCTATCATTGTGTATGCCTGATCGAAATCGACAGGGCAACGGGCTGGTGCCCCAATGGTTAGAGGCGTGGACTTCTAACTAACAGGTCGCGAGTTCGAGCCTCGGGTGATCCACACTTCGGGGTAGGGTATGACTGGCTACAGGTCTCCCTTATCTTTGTCGATAATAACATATTCCGCGCATAGTTCGGCCTAGTCGGACATCTCCGGACCCAATGCAATAATAACACGGCAACTCCACCCACTACTTCCACAACTCCACCTCCCTGTCGGGACCATCACAACGCCCGCAACGGCGATCACCACTGCCGGCGGACAGAATCCCGACGCCTCGACACCGTCGCCATGGCCGTCCACCACCACCACCACCACCACCACCACCACCACAGGCAACATTACTGTCCCAATCCTCGCGACGACGTCGACTACGGCTATCATCCCAGCCACTCCCACCATTGGTGACAGCACCCCAAACACTCTACCAACCACCAACAATGCGATCTCCCTCCGAGCCAGTCACCATTGCAATCGCACCTTCGCGTCCGACGGGGCCTCGTAGCTCGGGTGGTTAGAGCGTTGGCTGCGCTAAAGCCTTCCCCTTATTGCGTTGGTTCGAATCCCATCGAGGCGCCGAGTTTTTCACAGTTGGGTCAATATGAAATGTACTATTACTTTGGAGTAAATCAGTTTGAACTAAGGTCTATAGGCGTAGGCCGAAGTTTTTATGTATGAATATTTGGGCCGAAGTCTATCAGCCACAGCGGGCTAACCGTGTAATACTCGTTAACTGTCTACAGGCAGCTAGTAGTATATATCGGGTTGCAGGATACCATATTAGTCGCGCGGGTGCCAGCTGAAAGCCCAGACACGTGTGTTTCGCCGATATCCTGCTGTAGTTCGTGGAAATCGGTCCATGCATTCATTCATAAAATGTTGGGCTAAGTCCATGCACCTTAGTTTAAACTGATTTATTTCAGGTTAGCAATTAATTTCTGAGAAAATTAAAAAGCCACAATTTCTAAAACTGGAGTATCTACCAGAAAGCACGCAGGGAGTCCTGGAGAACCTACCGATGAGCCGAACCCCTCGCAGCTGTGCCATGCAGCGGCAGAATATCGGCGAAACAGGCGTGCCTGGGCTTTCAAGTAGTACCTCTGCTGCTGGTAAGGTATCCTGCGACCCAAGTAGCTATTTATTTGCTTTCATCAAATGCCCTTCGCTGAGGGTTAATTCCCAACAGACACCCATTTTGAAGGTCAATCTGACGAAAGAGTTGACTTAGGCGTTTCAAATGGGCTGTTTGTCTGGGTTTGCGGTTATTCAGAGATATTAGGTAAGCGGATTTGCATAATTCATGTGGTTTTCATTTAGATTTTTGAACAGGGACTGCTTCCAGGTAATAAAAAATGTCAAAACATGTAATGATTGACAAGTAGACAGACCTTTCATATTTATTTTATAAAGTTTGGTTGGTGCGTAAACACTAAGGTCTTCGCCACAACGGAGATGGGGAAATTTTGTGCTAAAAAGAAGCCTTTACGACAAGCATGGGTTTTCGTTATAACTTAAAAAGGACTCCCGAAATTTATTGTTTAGTTATGAAAACTTGTGATGAATATGCTCTCTCTCTCTCAGGGAGTTTGCAACCGAAGATAAGAAATTTTTAATAAAATTTGAAGATGAAGAGTTCGAAAAGCTAGTTGATCACACACACACCATGCCAAACGCTTGAAGAAAAGGCAGAGGTACCGGGAAGTTGGTAGGTCTACTGTTGCAACTGTTTTCCTGCAGTGGTAAGGGCTCAAAAACAAGAAAACTTAGGTGTCGCATGAACTGACTGAAATCCACGTTTACGATATTGCTTTCAAGGCATTTATTTGTGCGTCGAATCATGACCCTAGGCAGATCTGTTACGATAATATAAAACATGCAGAACCCTGGGCGACGCCTGGTCAATCTTCAACCTCAAGGCCAAAACAGAATATTCATGGAAGTAAAGTTATGCCGTGTATTTGGTGGAATGTGAGTTGTCAAAGCCACCTGAAACTGTTACTGTTGTGCGATTTTAACAGTGATTAATTGTAGCTTTTAATTTTCACAGAAATTAATGCCTCACTTGGATTAAATCAGTCAATTTGGAACTAACCGACTCAGACATAATTTTGATATGAATATTTGGGCCGAAGTTCATCAGCCACTGCAGAATAACCGCGTTATATTCATAAACTACCAACAGGCAGCCAGCGGTACGTACTGAGATAGCGCGATACACCACACTTGACAGCATAGGCACTACCTGAAAGTCAAGAAACGCTTGTTTCGCCGATAGTTGGCCGCTTCACGGCGCAGCTGCAAGGGGTTCGGCTCATCACTGGGTCCCCGCTTTCTGGTAGATACTCCGGTCCCCAGAGATTGCAGCTCTTTAATTTCCTTAGATGAGCTGAACTTCTCGCAGTTGAGCTCTACAACGGCAGAATGCCGGCGATGTACGTGTCTGGGCTTTTACCTAGTACCAGTGATGTCAACTATGGTATACTGTGCTACCTCACGAGAATCAACCTTTGCAAGTGTAGCTCTGATGACAAAAAGGTCAGAACATGATGACAGACATGGTGATTTTGCATCAGACCAATGAGACAAGGAAACCTTGGACGTCCGGGGTTTGGAAGTTCTACTCCAAGCACGGTATTCACCAGATTATCATTTGTTGCATCGGCCCCGCCGATGGAACATGGCCTTGTTGGTCTGTGCTGCAGTTCCTTAGAAGAAGGCAAAAATTCGTTTGATTAGTGGACTGATTCAAGGGGTCCGTTGTTTCCCTACCGCGGAATTTATGCGTAACCCAAAAATGAGGAATAATCATAGCTGCCAGTGAACAGTACTTTGGATAAAATAAGAACGAACAGCTGCTTCTAAATACACACTGATTTCTCTTATAAAAACGATACAGTTATTTCCTATTCTCAACACTTTTTATGTGAAACACACTGAGTGTTGTGTGCCCCTCGATTTTCAAATAGAAAAGGTTGTGAATATTTTCGAGAAAATGTTTTCTGATTATTTTCCTGTGGCTGAGATGTGGGTTAGTTCCACTATTGCAAGCAACGAAGTCCACCACTGCATCACAATGTGGGCGCTCTCTCTTCCTCCACCAAGCGTGTTCAGATTTCAGGACGACGACAACAACGACGAGATCCGCCATCTGCTAGCCGCGCACAAAGCCTGCATCGACTGCCGGACCGACGCAAACAGGACGGTCTTCTTCTGACGGCGCTGCTTGGTGAGACAGCGTTTGTGGAAGATGTCAGACGTCCGGATAAATCGTAAGCTCGGGAAAATACATGGATACGCGAACCCCAATGAGACGTAGACTTTCATCACCTCTACCAAGACAGTCTACGGTTGCCGCACCAGACGAACCGCACTGCTTCTCAGCTGGACAGAACAACGCTCCTCACGAAAGAAGCTCAGATTTCGAAGCGCTGGGCCGGATACTTCAGAACAATCCTCGGCCGCCCATCCCAGATCCTTGGTGCCACCAATAACAGACTCCCTCAGGTAGAAAGAAACATTTAACTGGACCTCCCGCCTTCCCTCTCAGAAGCCGTGCAACAGTTCTCTGGCGGGTAAGCGTCAGGATCCGACAAAATCGCGGTCGAACTCCACAAGCACGGCGGTTTTTGACCGATGGTCAGTCTAACATAGCCGTTTCAGAAGATGCGACGGCAAGGAAAGATCTCTCAGGACTTTAATGACGTCAGTGTCCTCCAAGTGCAAGAGCAGCCTTCAGCTCTGTGATACTCACATAGAAATCTTGCTGTTACTCGATGCCAAGAGGCTGTTTGCACGCATCCTTCTCTATTGTCCGCCCTTCATCTGGAACGCGGAATTCTCTCGGAAAACCAGTATGGCTTCTGACACACCAGAGAACCGCCAACATAAGCTTCGTTGCTCGTTAACTGAAAGAAAAATGTCAGGAAGTGCGGGCAAGTCTTTACACTATCTTTGTAGACCCGACGAGGGTCTTCGGTACAGTGTATATATATAGGCTCTGGAGAACGTCCGGAGCGCTACGCGCCTGCGGTACGCCCACTACACGACGCGGCACGATAACGCGCATCACGGACAGTGGGACCATCTTGGAAACATTTGTAATAACGAACGAAGTAAAGCAGGGCTATTTGCCCGTCTACACCCTCTTCAGCCTCATCTTCTCCGCTACGTTGATGAATCCCCATTGTGAAGAACGGTAAGGAAGCAACATTGTCTACCGGCTGGAGGGGGGACTGCTCAACGCCATGGCCCATTCAAACACACTCACAGCAAGCCCAAAGCAGCGCTTAATGCAGCAACGGAGGCGGTCATACGAAGGAGCAGAGATCTCTTCACCAACTTCGGATTAATCATCAACCCGGAGAATGCTGTGGTCACGCATCAATCGGCGCCGGACAGTGATTACAGAACATCCGACACTAGCATCAGTAGAACTTAACTATGGACAAATTCGCATGCCTAGGCAATGCAATTTCACGAAATGTCAGGATAGACGAAAGAGTAGCCCAGTGAATCTCAAACACCAGCCAGGCTTTTGACCGGCTACCTATCTCCATCTAGAATCGTCGGGGATTTTGACAGAACAACAATCTCATGATGTAGAGGACGTTTGTGCCGATGAAGTTACTCAAAGTGGCGGGTACCTGGGCCGTCTGCGTGAATCCCCTCCACTTCAGCCGCCTCCACAGAATGCTACTGTTGAGATGGCAGAACTGGATTCCGGACATGGAAATGCCCGAACTGACCGGAATCCGCAGCGTCCAGGCCATGTTGAGGCAACCGCAGCTACGCTGGAGCAGCCACCTCGCGAGGATGGTTGACGAGCATGTACGCAAGCGACTCTCCTACAGCGACGTAGCTACGGGTGCACTATGACATGGAAGGAAAATAAATCCGGACACCTGAGCTAACATCGCCCAAGCCCGACCAGCCCGGAAAACGACGGACAAAAACTGGAGTAGCAGTTTACAAAGCCCACCGAGTTGTCGCCATCAACATCAAAATAGATGCTCGCAGGTCGCAAAAGCCGCAGACCCTAAATCCCAACACGCTACCACCTTAAACATGTGACGCTGACGCCAGGTATTCCGCGCATAATGGTAGGGAACGTTCACCGATCGTTCTTACGGAACTCACTTGTTCCGTTGTGCCTTACGGGCTCTCTCTTGAGCCCAAATAGCGTCTCGTACGGACTTGGTCGGTCATTTGACAAGCCCTCGCACTGAGACCAGCGAACCGGCGCCTGGAGCCTCAACATAAAACCGCCGCATCCACCTTGACTGTCTGCACTTTTCACCTTCAATCTCTCAGGACTTTAAGGACGTCATTGTCGTTCAAGTGCAAGGACAACTCTCAGCTCTGTGAGACTCATATAGAAATCTTGCCGGCACTCGATGTCAGGAAGAGCTTCGCTCGCATCCTACTCTATTGTCCGCCCGTCATCTGGAACATGGATTTCTCTCGGAAAACCAGTACCGCTTCGGACGCACTGGATAACCGGCAACATTATCTTCGCTGCTCGCTAACTGAAAAAAGTGCCAGGAAGTGCGGACAAGTTTCTACGCTACCTTTGTAGACCGTAAGAAGGTCTTCGATACAGTGCATCTCTATAGACTCTGGAGGAACATGCAGAAAATCGGATGTCCGGCGCGCTTCGCGTCCGCGGTACGCCAACTACACGACGCGGCACGCTAAGGCCCATCGCGGACAGTGGGATCATCTCGGAAGCATTTCCATCGAAGCAAAGCAGGGCCGCGTACCTGTCTTCAGCCTTTTCAGCCTCATGTTCTCCGCTACGCTGATAGACCCCTATCGTGAAGAACGTCAAGGAAGCAACATTATCTACCGGCTGGACGGGAACTGCTTAACACATGCAAGAACACTCGCGTTAATCACAAAGCAGCAGTTAATGCAGCGATGGAAGCCTCCATGCAAAGGAGCATAAATCTCTTCACTTCCGGCTACGCCAACTTCGGACTGATCATCAACCCCGAGAAGACGGTGATCACGCATCAACCGGCGCAGGACACGGATTACAGAGAAGCCTACATCAACATCAGGGTAACTTAAATCGCCAAAATGGACAAATTCGCATATCTAGGCAATATAATTTCACGAAATATCAGGATAGACGAAAGAGTAGCCCAGAAAGTCTCAACCGCCAGCCAGGCCTTTGGCCGCCTACCTATCTCCGTCTGGAATCGTCCGGGATTTTGACAGAACAACAATCTCAAGATGTGCAGGACGTTAGTGCTGATGAAGTTACTCATAGTGACGGGTACCTGGGCCGTCTACGTGAACTCATCCAACTTGCTGAACCCCTTCCACCTCAGCCGCCTCCACAGAATGCTAAAGTTGAGATGGCAGGACTGGATTCCGGACATGGAAATCCTCCAACTGACCGGAATCCTTAACGTCCACGCCATGTTGAGGCAACCGCAGACGCGCTCGAGCGGCCACCTCGATAGGATGGTTGACGAGCATGTACGCAAGCGACTCTCCTACAGCGACGTCGCTACAGGTGCCCTCCGACATGGAGGGAAAATAAATCGGGACACATCAGATAACATAGCCCAGGCTCGATCAGGCCAAAAAGATGGAAAAAAACTGGAGTAACAGTTTTCAAATCCAATTGATTTGTCGCCATCAACATCAAAAGAGATGCTCACAGGTTGCAAAAGCCGCAGACCCTAAACCCCAACACTCCCCCACCTCAAACATGTCGACGCTGACGCCAGGTATTCCGCGCATAATGGTAGGGGACCCTCACCGATCGTTCCTACGGAACTCACTTGTTCCGTTGTGCCTTACGGGCTCTCTCTCGAGCCCAACCAGCAGCCTCACAGCGACGCATGATGTAGACAGTATATTAGTGCCGGCATGCGCCGCTGTGCGACTGCTGTTTGGGCTCGAGAGAGAGCCCGTAAGGTACAACGGAACGAGTGAGTTCCGTAAGAACGATCGGTGAACGTCCCCTACCATTGTGTATTCCTGATCGAAATCGACAGGGCAACGGGTTCGTGCCCCGATGGTTAGAGGCGTGGACTTCTATTTAACAGGTCGCGAGTTCGAGCCTCGGGTGATCCACACTTCGGGGTAGGGTCTGACTGGCTACAAGTCTCCCTTATCTTTGTCGATAATAACATATTCCGCGCATAGTTCGGCCTAGTCGGACATCTCCGGACCCAATGCAATAATAACACGGCAACTCCACCCACTACTTCCACAACTCCATCTCCCTGTCGGGACCATCACAACGCCCGCAACGGCGATCACCACCGCCGGCGGACAGAATCTCGACGCCTCGACACCGTCGCCATGGCCGTCCACCAACATCACCACCACCACCACCACCACCACCACCACCACCACCACCACCACAGGCATCATTACTGTCCCAACCCCCGCGACGACGTGGACTACGGCTATCATCCCAGCCACTCCCGCCATTGGTGACAGCACCCCAAACAATCTACCAACCACCAACAATGCGATCTCCCTCCGAACCAGTCATCATTGCAATCGCACCTTCGCGTCTCATATAGACTCGGTCGGTCACTTGACAATCCCTCGCACTGAGACCAACGAACCGGCGCCTGGAGCCTCAACATAAAACCGCTGCATCCGCCTTATCTGTCTGCACTGTTCATCTCCAATCACGTGCGTTCAGCTATCGCACGCACTTACCCGGTCATTTTCGCCCGCATGCAAGTCTGCAGTAAACCAAACCCATCGCCACAGATCCTCCCACTGGCTCATGCACCTCAACCAAACCCCCTCTCGCACAGCCCACCACAGGCTCGCACTGGTAAGTGAGAAGTGTGTTCTCCGGCACACTTTACCCTCGGAAATTAAACAAGGTCAGGTGAAACAGGAGTTCATATACCAGAAAGCACACGGGGAAGGCTGGGAGACCCATTTATGCCTAGGTGAAGGTTTACGCTGCTCCAGCAACCTGCGTCTTCTCCTGCCACCGGTCTTTTTGACCTTGTCCTGACACCGGATCCAGGCGAGGAGAGAGGAGAGAGTGCGGTAGATGCTGCGCAAGTCGGCCATCACTATAAATTAGTTCAAGCACAGGTCACCATCCCTGTGTCCACAGTGGACATCGTTGGTAACGACATTCAAACTGGCAAACAACAGCCGCTGAAGTGGGCATTCGCTCTTGCTCACGTAAACACACACACACACTGTTCCGACTACATACGGATCCGTGTTGCCCAGCTTCTGCACTTCCTAACAGTCTTTTCCACACTGTCCGACTCAAAGAGGACTTGGCCAGCCATCCTTTAGCTGCTGATTCAATTAGATGCACCCGCTTTGGCCAATCAATACTAGCATGTTAAAGTTCCTCTAAAAGTGGATTCGCTGCAGTTTAATAGGTCATCCGAGCGGATGAAACACGCTTGGCATGTGTTTTTCTGCAAGTAAAGTTCGTTTCTCTACTACGGCTTGTTTAGACGAGAAAGCACTTTTTAGTCCATCTACTGACCTCGTTAGCAGCCTTTACGGTGAAAATTGCACTTTAGCCATCAAAGTAACCAAAGGACGGCGGGTGCATAGCCATACTCCGGCGACGAAAATGTGTGAACTATGACCGTAATTGCCCCCCCCCCTAGTCTGTACCGGTAATACTGTGCACAATTAGATAGTTCAACGTTAGAAAAATCCGGAAAATGCTACCTCCCCCTCCTGTCCACCCTCGAAGTTTAGGCCACCGTCTGGACAGTGGAGGTCCTTACTGCTTACGACGAATGATCCATCAGATCTGATGATAACTGATTGGTAATGTACGCAAACTTATTGGTAATTACGCCACGTACTAGATTTAAGCCCAACAGCTACACTTAATGCATTCAAAAGCTCAGGTAAGATTTTGGATATAAGGAATCTCCCTGTCGTCTCCGTGAGCCGGTGAGGAAATTCGGCCAGAGGAGACGGAAATAAATACAGGGTTATTGTGGCGCCTCCCATCAGGGCTGATCGCAAAAGTCAATTGTATTCGAAAACACTGCCAATTTATATACTAGATCTGTGGTACCCGTCATCGGGTGATCTTCTCAAAACGTAAATGATAACATGCACGTTGACTACTTCGCCAAAACCCTTTACAATTCCAAAGTCACTTAGAGGAGGCGAAAGTACGTACTGGGCTGTTGTGTTGTCTCCCATGAGGATGACCTTGAAAGTCAGTTGCGTTCAGCTTGTGTCGAATCTGTTATTGGTTCTCCTCACTGAATGACCTTGTCACAACGTGAGTGCCAACTTGCACGCTGACTACTCAGCCAGGATCCTCTTCCGATCTGAAACTTCCGACTTCTGTGAAGATTAAACTACCAACTTCGAATCACATCTCTATCTCTCTCCCCAAGGTCATAGCGTTGTCCTTCTAGCCCTCCGGGTGTCGTGTGGTTACTTACGGGGGAAAACGCCACCGATGTTTGGCCGAACCTGGGCAATTAAAAAGTCCCAAGAGTAGCCGCGATTGTAGTGGTACCTCCAAATCTCCTCTGGGACTCGGCCTCCCTGGATTTCTGCGATGATTGGACAAGTATTGAAATATCTTATGACGCCCAGTCATGTTTGTGTCTCACTTAAAAAATGATGAAAATTAGCGCGGGATCGCGTCCCGAAATAATCTAGAACTACTAGCGGATGTCAGCAACCTCTTTTGTAGTTCCTTGTAAATCTCCGAGGACATAATTCAATTAAAGACGTCACCGGTAATGCCGTACCGTGATCAAATCTGACTACTTGTCCTTGCCTGTTGCCTGTTTCCACAAGATGACCATAATCCTATGTTTGGTCTTTTTTCTACACAGTTTCCTTGTCTTTTGAGTCCCTGTTATATTTGAACTGTCTTACTTCCAATACTGACTACGTTGTTATACCAGAGCCAGTCGGAGGGCGCGTTACATTGAAAATGTAGGACACTTTAGCCATTGCGTTTGACAGCATCATTTCCAGCCGATTTATCTCGGCTTGGGATAGGAGGGACAGAACGACACCAGGCCTGAAGTAATGTTCTTCACGCCAATCCACCGGCCAGTCTCCCCCCTACAATAAATCACATGCCCTGTGTAAGCTGTTATCTGGGTCTGCCTACTGACGTGATAACTTGGCTCTTCCCTCCCCCCCCCGGACTGCGGCCCAGGCTGCAACCCATGTTTCGTAATGAGCACCTTCTGACAGCTCCCTCTCCTTCCGATGAGAGATCTGCTAGAACCTTTTCTTCCAACGCCAGTCTGCGCGAACAAGGGGTAACAAGCGCACCTATGACACGCGCAGACATTGGCCTCGACGTGTCAGACACTCATCATGGCTGCCTCTTTTGTCAGTGGACAATGGTGGAGAGAGATAGAGGGAGGGAAGTGCACCGTAAGCCTCTTTGACCTGCTGTCTTTCTGGACAGAAATCTACTGATTACCACACTAGAGTCCGTCCCCTCTTCAATCATCTACTCGCTCCATCCGCGGAAGTCCCCGTCGACTGGGCAGCTTCATGTACATAGGAACTTCCGCCTGGACGTGAAGTATTGCAGGTGATAGGTAAGGCGTTTAAAGGCATGAAGGGCGTTTACTAACAGTCGGTGCAGAAACAAAATGGTCTCAGAATTACCAGTCTAATGGAGATTTGCTTCTGAGTACGATTTTCAGAAGAAGTCGTCAGGACGCTGCGTCAGAAGGAACCTAGTGACGTTGGTGAGTGTTTCCATCCGCTCCTCCGGTGGTTTCTCCAATAGGGTCTCAGCAAAGTCCAGCAGCACTGTGACAGCGTGTTTAATCTCGTTCAGCTCATATTGCCGTTGAGATTCTGGGCTTTCAGTCTTGTTCAGGGCGCCTGCGAGGAAACAACACAAGGAGAGCACCAACAGCAGACGTGACATCTGACTGCTTTTCTGACCGAAATGAGCAGAAGCAGGAAAGTAGTGATCTTGATGTGAGTCGTAATCATTTAGTAGAAATCAACTTAAACGGGATCCATTGGAGTTAGTGTTCGATGGAGGTGAGTAGTTGTACGTCAAGTGCGATTATCAAGTCATCTGTAGGTTGCAATAAGACACCAACAAGTGAAATTCGGAAGCAGATTGATTTTTGCTAGCAATGATCAATTTTGTATTTTATGTTATCCAGCCTTTAGTCATCTCATTTTCTGAGTAAATAATTGGGTAGTTTTTATCGATTAAAATCCAAAAATAACCGCTGAATGAGAATGGGAAATGGTCGGCAGCACTATTTTTCACTTCAAACAACATCCAGAAATGAACTAAGAACAGAAAACAAATCCAGCTGGGGCAGCATGAGCAGTTTTTTCCTCCAATGGGTGTGGCGGTTTCAGATTAAGCATAGCTTGCTGGCCGCTTTGAACAAATACAAGTGTCTGACTAGGGTGCGGTCTAGTTTAGGCAGAGTTCACGAAATCAATAAACAAGCCCCATTTCATGGGATCACTTAATCTGACGTAGGCTGAAGGGTTTCATCTTTTTATTGACAGACGCAACCTAAAAACGTGCTTCAGGCACGTTCTTGGATAAAAGTTCACTTACCTTGTAGCTCCGGGTCAAAAGTATGTCGTTTAGAGCTCAATTCAGCTGCCAAATTTCAGCATTAACTTTTGTCTGACTGCATTAAGTATTCCAACTAAGATTGTATGCTCTAAACCAGCAAGTAAAAATGTTACAGTTAAACCCAGGCACTTGACATTCGAGTGTCCTGATGATTTTTTACCCATTGCTTCCGAGGCTCAGGCAAGGTTAAGAGACCTTAAAAGGTAGCTCGGTCTAGAGGCCCGACCAGAAAATTCTTGTTTTTTAAATATGCTGTAGGTTCGCATGTTCGTTCAACCGTCTTAGCCTATATCGAAGAGTGCCATTTATGCGATTGCATTGTTTGGCCGTTTAGAATTCTTGTTCTACTTTTGATGAAGTCCTTGTATCAACACTGCCAAGAAACGGCAATCGCTATTAACGGATAAAGCTTACATCAAGAAGAGAGGTGGGTACGGAAACATCGGGGAAATGTGTGTGCGTGTGTCCGCGGAATCGTTCTCACCAGGAGGAATTGTGTAATTTCAAGTAAACAGTCATATCCCCATATACAGTAGGTAGGGGAACCGACCACATGCTCTGGCGTGATTTCTGCCTGTGGGAGTTGCCCTGTTAGCAATGGTCTATCTGATAAGCCCTTTTTACAGGAGGAGCTTTCGTCGCCCGTTTGAGCCTCGGGGCTCAAGCTAAAGCCCTCGCAGACCAGGAATATATGCAGGCTAGTCCTTAGACTGGTGTAGTTTGCAAAATAAGCAATGAAAAAATGCGGATTCCATCACTAGGCAGTGCACCCTTTCCACCAAGGCATGACAACCCTCGTGGTGTTTCAGCAAAGTTTACTCGCACAAGGCGTTTGTTGGTTTTTTTCTCCAGCACTTCAGAGCTGCAAACGAACACATTTAGTGCACACCACTGCAATATGATAATAAATTTTTTTCATACGGAACACGCATTTACGAGAGAATTTACATTACCGAGAGCGCAGGGCAATAAACCTACACTCTCAACAGCTACCCACCTCTACAACAGAGTTTTCTCTTAACATTTGTTGACGTGGGGAGGGGTTTAAGTGAACATCTGCGGAAGTAGCTTCTCCGCAATTGCAAGTAACGCCGAGTGCGGCAATTAGGCACTGTCTTTACAGCCGGGATAACTATCGGGTCCAGTTAGCACCTGACAGTTTGACCGTCTTTGCCGACGCTGTCCACCGTGTGCTCCACAGCAAGGTGGAACAAGGACGGCGACTTGCGCGTGAATTAGTTTAAGGTGATAGTGGACTTGCGCAGCATCTACCGCACTCTCTCCTCCCCCACCTACCCGCGGTGTCAAGACAGAGTCAAGGAGACCGGAGGCGGGCGAGGGCGCAGGTGGATGGCACGGTCGAGCTCGTACCTTGGTGCTCCACTCCACACTCCCTGGTGCACACAGCAAATGACCAGGTTTTTGACCAACGACAACAATGGAGAGGGGCGGCGACAGGGTGTGCGCGATGTCTGCCGGTAACCGCGTCTGCCACCGCATCCCCGAAATGTTGGCATTTGTTATGGTGTGCAAATCCGATAACGCCTGTTTGGTTCAGCGCATCTACCATGTGGGCCAGTTTTGGGGGGCACAGTTAGCATCTAGACGGCAACGGACGACATGCAGCATCGGAATGCTCCTTTTCCAGAGGATTTTACAAGGATGTACTTGGACCCAGATGCCTAGGAAGCAAATAGGTGCCTGAAAAATCTGGCGTCAAAAAGATGCACATGTTATCCAGTTGTTTGGGGTTTTTTCCTGTAGAGTCACGCTGAAGAAGGAGGTTGAGTGTCTCTTTCTACCGGTGACCGGGAGATTTCCTTTGCGTGAAGCAAGAAGGCAGAGTGGATGATTGATCCTTGAGTAAACTAAAAACAGACAGATTTCGCCATGGACGAAAAGGAACATGTGCTTCCTTCTAAGAGCGACCTGATCCATAAGAAGCCGTCTGCTCGAAGTAGTATCTTTGGACAGCGTTCACAAAACACTCCAGAGACCAGGCCTCTCTGATTCTCAGGAAGGAGAGTGTGGGAAGGAGAGTGTGGGAGAACCTTCAAACCAGTTGAAAGTTCGGAGGAGAAAGAATCAGGTGCAGCAGGGCCAATGAAACTAACACATTGGATATACCTCAAAGCTCCTCTGCTCTCCTAACCAAGACCATGTGCGGATTAGACAACAATGGCACTTTGATGAACAAAAACAACGTTAATACAACGACTGTACCAGAAGTTAACCGCTGTGGACTAAATTGACAGAGCAGAGGTGCACACACGCGCTGGGGCCCTCCTGTACACTTTTTTACACTGAAAAGCTCTCCACTCATAATCTGCCCTTCCTTGACTTGTGATTTAGGGGTCATCATGTTTTCGACTATGGGGAACTCATGTGTCATCTTCTCATTTCGGCACATCCTGCTCATGTCGCCATTTCGCGGTCCGTTTATTTGACAATATCTCGGGGGTGTGGTAAGGCAGAATACAAACCAGGAACTCCCCTCCCCATCCCCACCCCACAGGTGACCTTGGGCTGGATTCCGGGGAAATCAGGCATACGATTAAGGTAGGGTTGGTGTTAAGGTTGGAGACACGGTTAGGTTCGAGGTCAGGGTTTGGACGCACTGATGATCGGCGACGACCGCGAAACAGCTGTCAGCGTCTGACCCGTCGCACCCCTAGTAAACTGCTCATGTATCATATGTGGTATGTGTTTTATGAAACAACGTTGGTTGTCGTCGGTAGCAAACTGGTGGACGGACAGAATGGGATCAAGTGAGATCCCAACCACAAAACCGAGGGTCAAACGCTTACTCGACAACTAAAAAATCGTCTTGCTAATCTTTGCCAAGACAAAGATTGACAGCAGCAGAAACGTTTGCATTCATTGCTGCTTTAAAGCCTACCCCAGTTAACAGCAGTTAGCGCTGGATTAAGGATAAGAGTGCACCTTGAGAAATACTTATCTCACCACCTAAATGCACTCTCATTATCTCTGACCCCAAAATGCTGTCACAGCTCTTTCTTGATAAGTCACTTGTGAAGATCTTCCACATGAATGACAGCCTCGCCTACACAAACAACATGAATTTGTCCCCACATGCTAACGCAAGGCGGTTCGCATCGGCGGCTTCATATGCAAATATTCATGCCAGCCACGCTCAAATTGCAGCTCTTCAACGTGTTCATTCCAGCACTTTCGATGTATTCTTCTGTTGCCTTGGGTATTCTATCGTGTGAAGGCAGACTTAAACAGCAAACGTTCAGGAATGCTTGTGAAGGGGTTAAGAAAGACCAATAGCTGTCCTCGGAACTGCATAGCGACATGTAATGCGTGAAGCAATCTGAAATGGCTCTGGGGTCGACGATAACGGATGAGGCTCAAATTCTTCTACGAAGTCCTTCCTAAAGCTGGAAAGACAGCAGCCAGGCGTGGTTCTGGGACAAACTTTTTGGGCTTATGTACACCCCGAGCACTTGGAATACACTACGGTCCAGATACGCAAAAAGCAGAATATTAATGAATCTTAAGAATAAGAACCAGTAAGTTCAAGGTCATTTCAGAGACACGCGGTGGAGGCAACCCGTCTGGCGTACTCGGAAGGAAAGGATAAACTGGACGTTGCATTTGCTTCTAGCACGCCAGATGCGCTGGTAGACTGGACGGAACATACTATTTGAAGGCTTCTTCGGGGTTTCAATGAAATCATCGAAAAAAAAACAGTCGGGTATTATGGGACGTACATGTGTGCAACAAAAACATATCCGACAGTTTAATTTCGCAAAATCTACCGCCCCTGCAACACTTTTTTTTAGGATTATCCCATAAAAACACTCATATTCGTATCTAGTAGTGCCTTACTCCAAGGATTTCTTGCCGCGTCTAGATCCAATAAGGAAATATCTTGCCACCCTGTCAGTCGAGATGAAAGGAGAATGACGAAACTTGGCTGCTTGGTTTAATTG